GAGTCCAAGAAAGGTTATCTCAGAGATGGGTAGCCTCACCTGAAGAAACCCTCAGGTAGATGAGAAAGACAGATCATTCAGTCACTCAACAAATATTTGTGGAGCATTTTAGAAAAATGCCCGTGATGGGCAGCCATGGCCCCTGCTCTCCCGAAGCTGTATATGGCAAAGAAGGGAGTTCACACACGCAAGGCTGTATCTATGTGGGAGGAATTCACCATCGCAGCACATGACTGTGTGAGAACCGAGGGGACGTGGCGGGACAAGTAGTCAAGACCAGGGAGGGTAGAGCTAGGCCCAGGCTCAGGACCAAGAGGCCGTGCAGGCTGGAGGTGGATGACCCGTGTGGGAGTCCAGAGAGCTAAGAGTTATTCAAGAGGGGGACACAAGATGAGTGGCATGGCTCTTCGCGCCTGCTTTGTGTCTGCCTTCAACCCCACTCTCAACAGGGATGGCTTGGCCTCCCTGGGAGCCAGGAGGATTCACATAAATCATGATTGTCTGCTCAGCCATCCCAGCAGAGGCCGGAGGAGCTGGGCCTGCCAAAGGCTGGCAGGAGGAGAGAGGCAGGAGTCCCAAGGTGGAGAGCCCCCCAGTGCAGTTGCCCCCAAACCCAGAGCCAGGGCCGGCCTTGGTGGAAGAGGTGCAGACACCAGAGGGTGAGTCGGGTCTCTGTGTTGTTACTGCGGTGTCCTTGAGTTAAGGAGGGTGTCCCATGGTGCCACTGGATTATTCTTAGTAGGAGCTGGGGATTTAGCTCAGTGGCACTGCACCTGCCTTGAACGTGCAAGGTCCTGTGTTCAAACCCCAGTGTCAGAAGGGGGTACTCTTAGTATCTAGTATGGTGGAGCAGCTGGCGATGCGGTTTTGTCCGGTGACCTTGTGTGGTCACAGAACCCTTCCCCCAGCCTCGGGCAGGCCTGTAGTAAACTGGAGCTGCTTTGAAGCTCTACGTAGGGCCCCCAAGGCCCTACCTGCCCTGGCATCTGCCCTTTGTCCAGCTTGACAAGCAAGGACACCTGGTGGGGTAGAGGGAGAATGTCTGGTCTGACTTTAGGCCTTTTTCAGGGTCCTTAGTTCTTCCTGAGAGTTTCCTGGAACTCCATCTCTCCCTGTGCTTACTCTCTAAGCAGCCCGTGAGGGAAGGGATGCCACAAGTGGGTCTTTTGGAAGAGAAGGAAATGCCACACACCCTTCCCACTATCTGCTTTCTCAACTAACCACCCTGATGGAGGAAGTGGGACTGGGGCAGACTAAGAATTTCCATAAGAAAGTTTCCCCTCTGGGAGTTAGTTGACTGATCCAGATTAGGAGGCCAAGAAAGAGGCAGGCACTAGCTGGGAGTGGTGGTGCACGCCTGTAATCCCAGCCCTGGGGAAGCTGAGGCAGGAGGATCGCTGTGAGTTCAAGACCAGCCTGGGCTACATAGTGAGTTCCAGGTCAGTCTCAACTACATAGTGAGACCCTGTCTCAAAAGAACAAAGAACAACCCCCCCCCCCGCAAAAAAAGAGGCAGGTGCCGTCTCAAAAACAAAAGAAGGAAAAAAGGAAGGAAAGGGTTGAAAGTTGTTCTCCTGCCTTGGGCATGATCTTGGAGCCAAGGGTGGCTATTTGGATTCCAGAAGGATCTTGTCAGCCCAGATGCTCAAAAGGAAGCCGACAGACATCAGAGGGACAGTGGCCAGCCCAGCCCGGGTGTGAAGTCTGTCGGGACAAAGGCCTCCTCCAGGATGGCACTGGGCACGTGGCCAGTGCTTCATTGATGCCTTTGACCAGCTGGGAATAGATCGGCCAAGGCCAGGTCACTTTCACAGCTGGAGAACAGCTGGATAGGTAGGATCAGAGAGCACACACTTTGGTGTCAGGCCTGGGTTTGAATCTTAGCCATGTTGTGTGTCGCTCACCTTCCTAATTTGGGGACCCCTGATGTAGAACAGGCATTAGTAACTCTGCCTTCCTCCCAGGGCTGTTAGGAGACTGATCTAATGTGTAGAACGCCACTGGCCACCAAGGGTGATAAAGCCCTGCAATCCTTGGCTTCCAAGTGGACCCCTCAGAGATTCCTGAGGACCTTTCTTGAAGCTCCCAATGGAGACAGATGCAGATTTGTTCTCACGCTGGTCTGTGTTTCTAGGTCTTCTGGTTTTTTATTGCAGTCACGTCTTCTTTATTCATTTACTTATTCGTTTCATCTTTCTCTCTTTCCTTTCTCTTCTCCTGTTATTTCCGTTTTCCACTCATACACACTTCTGTTCTGTCATCCACTCCACCCCTCCCTGCCCTCCCTTCCTCTCCTCTCCTTCACGACACCTGCCCTCTGGGGGTTCCTTCTGATGACAGCTCACCTGGCAGACTCTGTCCCCGCTCTCCCTGGCCTGGGGTGATGTTCCTTAGAATTCCATGACTCCACAGAGTATCCCATACCTTTGAAACCAGGCAGGGAGCTGCTCTCCACTCGGGCTGTGTCACAGCCCTTTCTGAGAAACTCTTAACTCTGCGACCCCGAATGGCTCCAGCCCTGTGTCATTGCTCCTGATTTCCAAGGCCCCTGGTCTCCAGCAGGGTCTTTGCAGACCAACAGCTTCAAGCCTGGGACAGCCATATCCTCAGAGACGACTGACTCCCCTGCGTCCACTCTGAGGACAGGATTCTGCTGGACCCTGGAGGGAGGGGACATCACTCGAAGGATCAGGACGGGTCCATCTAATAGGGGAGTCTGAGTTTCATGAGTCAGATTTGACACACTCACAGACAACAGCAGTAAATGGAAAGTCACTTTTGGGCGGGGCCACGCCACTTGGCAGGAAGTGGATGTAATCCGGGAAGACTTCCTGCAGTACTGAGCAGGGATGAGAAAGAGAGGTGCCAGGAGGGTGTGCATACAGAACTGCGGCCCGGCTCCTCTCAGGGTAGGAAGTGAGTTACCTAGGTTGTGTTGTCTTTAGGGACCCAGGCTCTAGCTTGCCGGCTTGAAAACAGGAGCTCCCAGAAAGAAATGAGATTGGCCGAGAGGGGCAGAGGGAGGAGGAGCCTCCCACAGCAGCCGGGGGCTTGGCTCCTGTGCCGCTTCCCTGTAGGAAAAACGCAAATGGTGCCAGTTTCTCCCCACCCCTCGGCCCAGGCTAGACTGTTCTGGGAGAAGCCCACCTTGTGGGCAGGAGGGCAAGGCCAAGAGGCGTGCCAAGAGAGGCCAAGAGGTCCATTATAGTCAGCCCTTTGTATCAGCGGGTACCGAATCCTTGAATTCAACTAAGGATAGAAAATATTTGGGGGAAAAAAATTGCATCTATATTGAGCATGCGCAGTATGACAAACCGTTTACACGGCACTGGGCACTCGTCTGTGCATTTTAACTCTGTCGCTGTCCCATACCTCCTCCGTGGAAGAAGCTGTGTTACCACACCTTGTCTGCTGTTCCCGGGCCCTGGGGTTGTTCCTGTGTTTCTAGTGTATCCTTTGCGGCTGGAAACTTCCTGAGGGTAGAGGATGTATCTCCTCAGAGTCCCCAATGACTAATTACCTCTTCCCTGTGTCCCATCTTCAGAAAAAAACTTTGCTAGACTTGCTGAGGGCTGGCTAGACACCTGCCTTGCTGTGAGTCCCTACAGGAAGGTGAGGAGTGGCTACAGAGACTGTTTCTTCCTCCAAAGTCTTCCACAGACAACTCTGACGCACTTCCTGGAGACCTACGCATCTCCTGAAGAAGTCTGGGAAGGCAGAGGACACAATCTCCATTTTCCCCCTCTGCTAGAGTAGGGAGCCCTGAGAAATCAAGCACTGTAGCCAAACAGAGACACCCGGGAGTGACAAATGCACCGTCCTTTATCCCGGAGCTCAGCCAACGCCCACCCCTCATCAGAAGAATCTGAGCGAGTTGGGAAAACAGCCCAAAGCATCGAAAGGAGCTGCAGAAACAGCTCACAGACCCTCCCCGGTGGTTTGTGCAGTTCTCTCGCTCCCCGCTAATGAATAATTCAGTTTGGCTGTGCAGCAAGACAGGTCAGACAAGGTTGTCAGTACACAGAAGCGAGCTACTGCCCGACTGAAGGGCCTTCCCAACACTAAGGGCAGACGGGGAGAGGCGGACAGGAGAAGCGGGGGCGACGCAGGGAAGCAAGTGCCAGGCTGGGAGGGATGGCGAGGGCCGCTGGGGTCATGGATGGGCCCGAGGAGGATGGACGGCTTCTGGTGCAGACCGACAGTCAGGCTATGGAACAAGGAGCTGGCTGGCGGGAGCCACAGGCTGACTGGAGGGAGGCGCGCAGAGGGGCAGGCCTGGCACGGAGAGAGGGATGGGGACTCTCCGAGGCAGGAAGAAAAGAGAAGACCCCACTGAACAGGGAGGGCGGAAGGGCTGCCGGCCTGCTCGCCCAGCGTCAGTTCTGAGAGTGACAGCGCACAGAGCGGGACTCGGAACGGGAGAGAGGGGAGGGGAAGGGGCGGGGACAGACACGGGCAGGAGCCCACCAAGGCCCGGAGCGGGCGGCCAGGATGTGTTCGTGCCAGCCCCAGGGTGAAGCAGGCCCCGGTAAATGAGTCTCCTTTCTGTATCTTGTCCCGTGTCCTCTTCCTTTCTGGCCCAACAGGGTCAGCGCTGGGTGGTTTCCAAGAGCCAGAGAGGATGTCCTTTCCGGACAGTTGTGCGCTACGCCACGCCACAGCAGCCGGCGCGGGGCTGCACATCCAACAGCGGTCCCGTGAGATTATTACGGAGTTGAAGGTTCCCATCACCTCATGACATCACAGCACAACACATGACTCGTGCGTTTGTGGCAGCGAGGGTGTAGATAAACCTCCTTCACTGCCAGCCCTGAAAATGTATAGTTCATGCAGTTATGTGCAAAATAGGATATGCGGTAATGAGTGATTATGTTACTGGCATATGTAGATACTGTACGATAGTTTTATCTTTATTTTAAGAGTATACATCTACTCAAAAAAATCCTACGAGGGCCAGGGATTTAGCTCAGTGGTGCTGCCGCCTGCCTCGCAAGGTCCCGAGTTTGATCCGTAATACCAAAAACAAACAAACAAATCCTGTGAAAGAGTCTGCTGTGTGCTCCGGCAGCAGAGCCGTACAGCTTGTGTTTACGGTGTCTCTAGATTGCATCAAAAGAGACCATGTACAGTGACTGACCTACAACACCCGCGTCTTGAAAATACATTCTGTGTTGGGTCCCATAGCACAGCACCCATTCCTCAGAATGTATTCCTGCTGTGAAGGGATGCATGACCCTCCTTCTGAATTTTTAAACATTAATTTGCTGTGCCAGGGGAGGAACCCAGGGACTTGCACATGCTAGACAAGTGTTCCAAACTGAGCTGCATCCCCAGCCCAACACTTCAAAATATTAACTTCTGTTCCCCATCTCCTCGCCATCCTTCTACCCCCAACCTCACAAACAGACATTGTCTTTACTTTTTCTCACTCTCTGGGATTGGGGAAAACTGTAGCCTGCGCAGGAAAGAGCTTGGCACATGTTCAAAAGTCCTCCCGGAGGTGGGGGCGATCGGTGACCTGGGCTGTGGTGACATTCCACAGGGCGTAAGCTCGCTGTTCTCCGTGCTGTTCAAACGATGACAATACACAAAGGCTGCGTTCGCATCAGCGCCTCTATCTGTGGGTGCTAGGACGTCACGAGGGGCAGATCCATTTGTGGGAAATGAAGGGCAGATGAGGGGTGGAGAGGAGGCAGCCAAGGCCAGGGCCTGAGATCAGGCGCCAGGACGCAGGATGGGCGCAGGGAGAGGTCTCTGGCATCTTGACGGATGCTTGCCAAGTAGGGCCTTTGCAACGCAGCCAAGGGAAAGCGAGAATTAGGGTGCTAAGTGTGGCAGCTAGGACAGGAGACCCTCGTACTTTCCAAGGACATCTGAAGGCATGGGGTGATCTGAATTAAAAGCCTAAACGGGCAGAGAGAATTCCCAGGGATGTTGCCTGCCTTTTCCCAGCAGAGGGTGAGATGTGTGGCTGTCTGAACGGAAACCAGGGTACAGCAAAGCTTCTACAACTTCAGGTTTTCTGAGTCTTGTTCCTCTCCGTGGTGTTATGAATGATTAATGAGGCGTTTGAATTGGAAACATTGTCCAGTGATGACAAGGAAGTTGTGTACTGAGCATGACATGGATCAGGCTTTCTGCTTGAGCTTTCCAACGCATTGCTTGGTGCAGTTTAACCTAGTTTGACCGTGACTGGTTGCATCCCACAGCTTCTCCGATTACCTGTCGTCTACCTAGAACTTTGGAGCCCGGGTCCGTGTCCTCTAGGAGGTGGAGGGAGGAGACTTGGCATCCCCGCCAGTCATCTTTCCAGTCAGCGCCATGACCCTCGCTGCCGACTGACTCTCTGGGAAAGAGGCTGAGGGGATCACCACCCCTGTCTCCCTCCCCGCCACACAGCCAAGGTGTGGCTCAGCGAACCTCCCTCACATTCCCTCTCTAGCTCAGGAGCTGTTCCTCAGGCCTCGGCCAGTTCCGCCCTGGGATGAGCTGTGGCCATAGCTCCACGAGGGCAGGGACCTGGCCTGTTTTATACCCAGTCAGCCATGCCCAGAACAGTGCCTGGGACATAGTAGGCATGTGGACAGTATCTGCTGAATGAGCATCTCACCCTTCCCTCCCTCGCACGGTCAGAACCCTTTCCTAGCAAGCCTGCAACTCTCTGCCCTTGCACCTGCTCCCAGCAGGAGGGCAGAACCAGGTGCAAAGGTTAGGGTCCCAGCTTTCCTGGCTCAGCTTCCGTGGAATCCTGGCTCCCCACGCTGCTGTGGAAATACCAACATGTCCCTTTCTCTGATGCAGCAGAGTTGGGCTGAGAGGAGGATTCTTTTTGTGTGTGTGTGCAAACTCCAGACCTGGTCACGAGAGGCTGGACGTCACATCAGAATACAGAGCTGTAGGGAGAAGGCAGAGAGGCAGGCAGGATACTTGGTAAGGCAAAGAGGGAGGGAGGTGAGAGAAGAGGAAGGCTTCGCAGGACTCCTGCCCCCTTCAGCAGGGGTTCAAGTCTAGTGAACAGATGCTTCCTCCCTGCCCTGCACAACAGTTAGCGATGGCAGGGCTGGGGTGGGCTCCACCTCCCTCCTGCAGCTCAGTCACCCACGGAGACTGCCAACTTCATCATCCCCGCTTAGGTCAGGTTTGTGAAGCACATGGAACCTCTGAGTCCCAGGGTCACCGGAGAGGAAGATCCCACCAGAGGCCAGGGTGCCATGGCTCTGTCACTCCTGACTGGTGAGGCAGGGAGACCAGTTCCCTCCCGTCTGGCTGCCCTTCCCAGGCAGGTTTCGACTCAAGCAAAGTTAAGCATGTTGCACTGTGGGGAAGTGAGCACCCTCCTGTGATCCTCTGGGCCCTAGGCACTTGCACAGAATGGCCTTTGGGTCCCATGCCAGCCCCATGGGCAGAGGCCAGGGACTAGGCTGGCAGCTATCCCTCCACTGACGGCGGGCCTGGACTGTCCCCTGTCCCCAGGGACCTGTGATCAGCTCTCTCACCTGATACCCCAGCACTGTCGTCTCAGAAGGAACACCAGTGTGGACTTGGCTCTGTTTATGTGCCATGCATTTCATACCAAAGCTCAAGGAACTATCTGAGCCCTGTAGTTTCCCTGTTCAGTATCAGCCTCTGCCCTGGGTCTCTGGGTCACCGGTCAGTCCAGCTCAGAGGAGCTCCAGGCTGGGAAGCTCCCCCGGATGCTGGGAAGGGAGCTGGATGCTTCTTCATTAGCTCTGTCTGTGCCCTGAAAAGCTCCCCACGAGGGCCAGAAACTGGGAGTTGCTCTGCCTGTTTGGAACTTTTGCCCCCACTGCTGCCCCCGAGCTTCCTCCTTCCGGGGGGGGCTCCCTCTGGGTCTTTCTTGCACCTCCCTTCTCGGTACTTAACAGGGCCTGGAAGGGCATCCTGCCAACAGATGGCCAAGAGGCAGAGCAGGCAGCCGTGGCAGTGGCAGTGCCAGCAAAAGGACAAGCGATTAAAACAAAATGATTCATCTCGGGAATGAGTGCAAATCGCTTTCCATTTACAGGAATCAAGGCTGGGCTCCAAACAGCCTTTCTGGGCTCACTGGGGAGACAGCGTCTGGGCCACTGACCATTAAGTAATGAGCTCCTCTGAACGCTCCCTGATGACTTGTGGAGGGGATCTGGGGGCAAGGTGGGCAGGAGAGCCACAGAGACACCTCGGCTCAGCTCGGCTGGAACCCAGGGAAGAGCAGAGCTCCTGCAAGTGGAGTACCCAGAGGTCTGGAGTGGCCCTGGGCACCCTTGTCAATGGAGACTTTCAGAAACAATCAGGCTGGGGCTGCCTAACCAGGGATTCCAGAATCCACAGGCGAGTTACAGCGCTTGTGCAGGGTGCCAGCCGCAGTGCCACAGTGGGCAGTTGGCAAAGACCAAGACATGGACCTTGTCCGATGGGACAGGGCTGGGTGGGTGGTCCGCTGATCAACAGAGGAGAGCCAAGAGCAAAGATCTGCTATGGAGACACACAGAGGCCACAGGGGGCTGAAGTGAGCCGAGGCCAGGACTATCTGGTGGGGTGGTGGCTAGGAGGGCACACAGGGGCTCTCGTACCAGGTTCTGAAAATGACTGTGTTCTCCCAGTGGATGGGTGCTTGGGCAGCAGAGTAAAGTTGGAAATGAATCCAGCCAGAGCGATGAGCCTGAGGAAAGAACACAGGAAAAAGCCTGTTTGAAAAGTGCTAGAAGCCAGACATGGTGGTATAAGCCTGTTGTCCCAGCTACTCTGAAGGCTGAGGCAGGAGGATTCTAAGTTTGAGGCCAGCCTGGGCAATTTAGAAAGACTCGGTCTCAAAATAAAATTAAAAGGGCTGGGGAGGTAGGTCAGCAGTAGAAGGCTAGCTTAGCCTGCACAAGGCCCTGGGTGCAATCCTGGGTAACAACACTGACAACAAAAAAGGGCCAGAATTCACACAGCCTACTGCGGCTGAGTTGGGGAGGGCTCGCAGCACGAGAGAAGCCAGGGTTCAGGAGCCTAGGAATGTCACGCTAAGGAAATTTTATGAAAGCTGGTGAGGTCAGGTTGCATTTTTAGTCAAATTCCCCTCACTCTGGGTATTTTCAATCCTATTCCATCAGTGAAGCCCACTGCAGTCTAAAAGAAGAATCTGAAATCTGAAACATGTGTATCCAATTGTTAGCATTTATTTTAAAGGGCAATAGATAAATGACTATGTTATTTTATTTTCTGTACTTTTAAGCTTTTAAATTTCAGAATTGACTCTGAGTTTTCATGTATCTACATAATGGAGGTTTATGTAATGTTGAAATGAAGATAAAATGCCTCTGATATATTTTTAAAATGGAGAACAAACAGCATGTATAGCATGATTCTGGTTTTGTGACAACAATAAAATAAATCTGGAGGCCAGATGTGGTGGCACATGCCTGTCATCCCAGCACTCGGGAGGCTGAGGCAGGAGGATCACAGTGAGTTCGAGACCAACCTGGGCTACATAATGAGTTCCAGGTCAGTCTCAACTACATAGTGAGACCCTGTCTCACCTCCCCGCCAAAAAAATCTGTTAAGAAATATACCGAACCACTAAAATGACGATGATGCTCTTGAGGAGTGAGATTTGGACATGGACACTGAGAATGAGTGCGCTTTTCCATTGTGCATTCTCTGCCTTTTGGAATTATATGAATCTCAATGATTTTGTACTATTGTACAACAACAGCTCTCCTGGTATGGTGGCACAAGCCAGTAATCCTAGCTACTTGAAAGACTGAGGCAGGAGCTTGATCCCAGGAGTTTAAAGCCACAAAGGGCAACACAGGCAGGCCCCACCTTCTCAAGAAAACCCCACATTTTAAGGATAACTTTAATTGTATTCTTTGTTGTTATTGGTGGTGGCGGTTTTGGCTTTTTGACACGGAGTCTCACAGTGTAGTCCAGGCTGGCCTGAAACTTGTGGCAATCCTCTTGCTTCAGCTTCCTGAGTGCTGGGATTACAGGAGTGGTGCTGGGACTCATACCCAGGGCCTTGGATCTGCTGTGTAAGTGCTCTACATGTGAACTACATCTCCAGCCTTGGGGTTACTTTGTCACAGAAAAGTTGTGAGAAGCGTAAAGGAATGTGCTCTGCCTGGACTCATGGTTTGCTAATAGCTTGCTCCCGCAGCATATATTCTTACAAAGATCATCCATTACCTCCGCTTGCAATGCTCAGGGGCCACTTTTCAGTCTTTATCTCTCTTGACCTCTGAACGGCTGGAGAGCCTGCTGCCCCTTCCTTCCATCTCAGTCCCTTGGCCTGTGTGGCCTGAGCCTCTCTGCAGCTCGGATTTTTCCTTAACTTCCTCCTGACAGTCCTCCCTTCTCACCACCCCTCTGGGTGCTGGGGTGGGCGCACGGCATGGCTGTGTGTATTTTCTTTGTTTTTTGGTACTGGGGATTGAACTCAGGTCCTTGTGCTTACGAGTCAGGCAGCAGAACCACTGAGCTACATCCCCAGCCCCATGTGTGCATTTTCTCTTGGGTAATGTGTGTCTACTTCCATGTACCACAACTGCTCTCTTCGCTGATGGGGTCCAGATCTGGGTCTCAGCTGCCCTTTCTGCCTTTAGTCTTGGAGGCCTATATCCGAGCCCCTATTAGACACATGCCCTTGGCGATCTATACACATTCCAGATTCACCGTGCATCAAAAGGGCTGTCATCCTCCCTCCCCTGTGCTCCCAGGGCTGCTTCCCGGGCCTCTGCCTCAGATAATGGCACACATCCTTCACTCTGACAATGGCGATCAGCTAGCCTCTAACAGACCTCCCCGACCGCAGCCTTCCTCCACATACACCCATCTCTCACGACGGTCAGTGCGGCATTCCTGACACAAATCCCACCGTGCCACGCCCCGAGCACACCCGCCAAGGTTCCTCATCACCCTCCGTCACAGCGCCCCGACTCCCCAGCGCATCTTGGGTCCCTGCCTGCCTTTGTACCCTGCTCCAGGAGGGCCCAGATCACCACACATCTGCTCATGCCGCTTTCTCTACTGGAACCTCGCTCTTCCCCTGGCAAACTCGTCCTTTACCGCAGAACTCAGGGGACACCTCTTGAAATGAAAAGGAAAAAAAAAAAAAAAAAAAAAAAAAAA